TCACAGAGCAGAAGGTTGGCATAGTGATGGACTGTCTTACAAAGAAAGATCAAATTGGTGATTTGTAATTTTGATTGTTGATTGGTATACTAATTCTGTACACAGAGGGTATTTGTATTAGCTTAGAGTTAAACAATAACATAAAACAAGGGGGAGAAAATACGGACACATTTTCTGTGAAACTGAACGTAACAGAACATGCCTCACCACCTCTAAGGATCATTCATAATTAAGTCATGGTTAGGTCAATCACTAAAACATCAAATTGTTGACATATGAATCACTGCAGCAGAAATGCGCAATTTGGGCCATTTAGCTTTTATATTTTGATACCTTTATATACAGACATGCTAACTTTAGCTGATGGCCTGTTTTAACAGGGTTAGCCAAAAGCCCTTTTAGCAACACCATACTGATTGTTTTAACTGCATGTTGATCATTAAAAACACTGAACTATAAGTGACTCATGCTCGGGCTCTTTGTATGATGACCCATATCAATAAAACACGAGTTAATGATACATTCGGGCCCATCGGAGAGTGGTACCAAAAGTTAAACAATCACTGTAGGTTACACGAGGTTAATCTACAATCAATGATGTGTTTAAGTTGATTCTTTCATCTCTCACAGCCACTTACACCTATTCATCTACTTTGAGAGAGTGAAAACCAAACATGTGAAGGGTAGAGTTTAGAAAACTCAGGATTACAAGTTAGATTAGAGCCTGACCGATTGATCGGCCAGCCGATAATATCGGCCGATATTAGCATATGCATTGACTATCGGTATCGGCTGATTTTATCGCAGATATTACTAGATTTATTCTCCAGTCAAATAGCATTTTATTTGAGCATCATTGTCTTACAAAGGCAGTTATCTTACTGGCTGTCATCAGCAGAGGGCGCTATATGGATTTAAAAAAAAAGCATAATCAAGCAGTTAATGCACATACATGCGCTGTTACTGTCCAGCTGAGTGACCATCGTGTGTTTAATATATATTTGTGATGAATTCATATTTAAGCAATCAACACAAGAATTGTGAATATATTTATCTTTCTATCTCTACAGATTAAAAATAGATCTAAGAAAGATATCGGCTGATATATCTGTATCAGATTCTTTTTCCCTCCTCAATATCGATATCAGTATCCCCTAAAATCACTTGGTTCCTCTATTATACTGTACAGAAACATATGCTTGTCCGGTTTGTTAGCCTGTTTTTGTAACAGTGCAGGGAAATGGGAGGGACAGATGGGAACGAAGACAAGGTCACCCCGCCATGGTGGAATCTACTGACCAACAGAAACGGCATCTGCTACCAGTTGCTTTGCTGTTTCTGTCAAAAAGTTGTTTCGCAACCAAATCTGATTCACAGTCTTGTATTTCGTGGATTACATTTATTTAAGACTATTTCTCACAACTTTGTGATGTTAATATTTCATTTACGTCTTCATACAAATGTCATCTTCTCACAAATGTGTTTTTCAAACTGCTTGAAGAATCAGCAATGAACAAAGAAAATGTTCCCTGTTCGAACAATTATCCCAAAACTTTTTGTCCTAGCCTTTACCATACATCCATCATCTCTGTGACACCAGAAGAGTTTTTATTGTGGTGATTTGGGAGCAGTATGATGAAGTGTGAAAGGTGGGAAGTTTCCATGCTGTGTTAACTGCTGGCAGCTGAATTACTAACCCTGCATGAGATCTACAACAAACCTTTAACACTTGAACAAGGAAACAGAGTCAATGTCCTCAAACAGGGCTGATGGTGTTCATATTTCCACTCTACTCCCTTATTTGTTATCTTATCTCCATTTCTCTGTCTGTTAATGTTATGAACAAGATGTTTTGGAACATGAATTTGGAACACTGAAGAGACAGCTCTGTTTACACAGCTTGTAATGGTGATCAAAATTGTGGCTTATTTTTAATCACTTCTGATGGCTGATCCTAGATCATGTTTCCAGCAAAGCTCCCATGCGGTGTTTTGGGAGGAAACACAAAGAAAACAACAAAGAGATATCGTGACATTACAAAGAAAGAAATCCTACATCTTAAAAATGACAATCCGGTTTTGTTGGGAAACCTTTAAAACATGTTGATTGTAATGGAACAGCAGTGTGAAATGGCATAAATAATTTGGAAAGAAAAAAATCAGTTTGATTTATTTATGTGTGAATTTTCTGTCCTTTTTCTTTATATTGCATTATAATGCCATATATACAGGTTGGTACTTTTTTTCTGAGAAAAGGGGCTGATCTATCTGGGAATCATACAACGGTTCAATCAGAATCCTTCAAGAAGACGCCAAATTATGAGATTTTAGCATAAATTTTAGGAAGCATTGAATATCATTGTAGCAGCTGCACTTTGTAATGCAGGATTTTGCTATTTCATTTGTAAAGGTGTGACATCGTGATCAACTATTAGTCATTAAGATAAGTCATAGCTGCTTTTTTAAATCAATGGGTAATATCCAGATATGACTTTACAGTTATCTCTAACAAACTCTCATACATCCGTCACATGAACTCTTCATATCTCTATTTTAAACTATAGCTGTCACTCCTTCTTTTGTCCCAACGCTTTTGATTTTGGTCATATTTGGAAAGTGTCAAATTATTGAAGAGAACACTGGAGGCGGCCTGCATTACTGTGTCAACATCAGCAGAGGTGCTGTCACTGATTATCCAGTGTTAGAAAAAGAGAGCTATAACTTGTGACATGCATCATCTATTCCTGGATGTGTGATGGACATCTTGGCATTTCAAAGTGAATGTTTTAAACTATTGTTCATGTACACCACCACATCGTCTGCGTAACAGACTAACACTTATGTTAACAGGTGCACACATGCTGATACATAGTATGCATATAGTTGTAATAAGTCTAACTTGGCATTTATAGACTGTGCCGTGCCTAGCTCTACATGGCGCAGATGGTACAAACAGAGAGAGAGAGAGAGAGAGAGAGAAAGAAGATGGAGGGAGAGAGAAGCAACAAGAGAGGTCTGTGACACCTCTCTCTCTCTCTGCCCACACTAAAGCTGCCTATTATCTAATCCTTCGCACCACGGAGAGGGGGATCGCGATGGTCACATAGGCAGAGAAAGCAAGACATACAGTTGATGCCAGAAAAGGAGCGGGAGAAAAGCGTCATCGTCGCCAGAGTAGTGTTCTGCTGGCGGTAAAACAAGGCATCATTGTGCTGATGGAGTGGTGGAACTGCTCTCTCTCTGTTTGAATTACAGCCAAGCCTGACTCAGGCCTACCACGGCAACCAAGTCAGAGCCTGGAAATTACCAAAGCACAACTTCTCCTCTGACCGCCTATGTGACTCCAAGTCGCCATCATGACACTAACAGAGCTGAAAGTATACAGGACATTTGCTCTGAACTGAAATGATCGGCTCATCAAAATGACTATGTCAAGTTGAAGAAATCCATAAAGACAGGTTTGGCTTCGCCAGGTGTACTTTGAACTTTATTTTCAACCCAATAAGATGACACAAACTGGTATTGTGTTCCAGTTAATCCAAAGACAAGGCAGTTAATGTTTTAGGTGAAACTGTATTTTACTATTCAACTCCAAAAATAGTCCCTAGGCACCAAAAACTAAATTAAATACGGGCATCTCAAATCTATTAACTATTAGCAATTCGCTAATGCTATTGCAAAAACTGATGTTTATAATACTGGTTAACGTTAACTTCAGTTAATGATCAATGGAATTGAATGATAAACTGATATTAAAGTTAAAGTATTTTTTAACAGATCAAGTGTTAATGGAGTTAAATTTTGAATAACCTCGTCCACCTCTGCCTAATCACCCTCTCCTGCTTATGGTATTTTTTTTCTGAATGTTACATGCTGTGTTCACATATTGGCTTATCATACTTTGACTATGGGGCTGGCAGAGATATGGTCAGAGTAGAGTCCGAGTGAAATATTCAGCCATTTGTTTTTCACACATGTTGCTCACCTTGAAGATTTCTGGAAATTTCCAGGACTTCAGTGCATGTGTGAAAACAGCTCAAGACTCGCTATTGGGAACAGTTTTATGATGCAGATCCACAATGTAAGTTCCAATAACAGATTTACAGTTTAGATTATTATTACACGAATTATTATCTTTAAAAAGTTGCAAAAGGGTTTGTGGGTTTTTCCAAATATTGACCGAGCATATGAAACAGAAGTCCACATCTGGAACAAATTTGAAGCACTAAATCTGCCTGCTGTGCAAAAGATTTCCCAGATCCTTCAAATATTTCCCAAGAAGATAAAGTGCACAGGCAGCCAGGGGATAAGACTCTTGATACATAGCTTACATTTTTCAACATAAGACAACTAGTTTGTCATGGATTTAAACTCTTGGTCTTCTTCCACTGACCAGATTAATGACTGATCACAAAGGGGAAAACATAACACCACATGAAACGGGCCGATACAGTTAAACACAGTATTGGGGTAACTGCCTGTGCAAGAGGAAGACTACTGAATGCCAGAGGTCAGTGTCATGTGTATCAGCTGCTAAGACAACATAAGAAGAGATGAGAGGGGGGAGAGTTAAGGGGAGGGTTTTTGGTATGAGTGAGCAGTGAAGAAAGAGAAGCAAAATATCTCCAGGCTTCGCATGACATTCCAGCTGCAGGGACTAACTTTCACAAAGAGGTGTGAGGAGGGGGGGGGGAGAGGACAGTACAGTACAGACAACTTGTTGCAGCTTTTCATTGATAAAAAAAAAACACAAACTCAATTTAAGAACCAAAGAAACACACATCTTTCCACCATGACTGGACAGAGCTACAGCTTAACATCTTTCATGCAGCAACACAACAAAAAAGAACTGTACTCGAGTACAAAAAATACAAGCATACTGCACATTCTTCTACATGATCCTAAGGAGGGCCACAGAGACATATATCTCCCCTGGCCCATGGACACAAATAGAACAGAGCACATTTAGAGACAAATAAAGAAGAGGGAGACATTACCAACCTGCTCTTTTTGTGGACGTGCAGCCCACATGTTGCTCAGTCTCATTGATCCACTTCACTGCTTAACTGAATCGACAACAATGCTAAACACACGCACTCTCCAACTTGACTGACAATGACGTACACAAGCAGCAGGCAGCTAAGTCTTCCTTCTCCTCTGCAACTCACAAAGTGAGACTGAGAAAAAACTAAACAGGGAACTCTCTGCAACTCCTCAGGAAGGGAGGGAGGGAGCTGTGAAACTCTGCACCAATTGCAGGAGCAAGTTCCTCCCACATGCTTTTCTTATTGGATGAATGTGAAGTTCTGCACTCTGGTGGAGTAGGAGGAGTCCTCTGGGGAGAAAATACTAATACTGGTCCTGCCTGTTATCTCTCATCAGTTCACACTTTTCTCTTTTACAAATAGTGTGAGTGAGCGAGTGTGTGCCTTTTGAGTATTGATGACCTCAGCGTTAGTGGTAAAAACACAAGAGAGTTTGCTTATGATTTAGATCAAACAAGAAAAAGAAAATTAACTGCACACATTTGATTATGTAGTGTGGATTTGTGCTTTTTTTCCTTTATTTTACAACTTCAGTGTAAAATGTTCATGATTTTGATCAGTAATACGGGAACACTGATACATAGTTTTGAGTCTAAAATCATAAGAGATCTCTACTTCCATCTTGTGGAGGAATATATGTGTCACCTGACTTACAGAACAAACACACTCCTTCACATTCTTTAGCTTGAAAATGTGTGTGCGTGTGTACTCATGATAGGGACTTTACCCTGTATTCCACTACCACACCCTGTAAACATCCCGTTCCGGCGAAATGACACCCAGAACACCTATCAAGAAACAAGAGTTTTAACCACCTTTGACAGACACACTTGCGATAAATATACATAAAAAGCACTGAGAAAGAGGCCTGGAAAAGTGAAGGGGTATGCGTATTACATGAGCAGAACACGAAGCAGTAAAATCTTCTTTTTTTTTAAACACAGATGAGCTGCTGGAAAAATATGGGACACCTTGATTTCATATACACAAGCGACAGTACACAGCCATAAATGGACGAAACAGAAAAAAAGCTCTGCTTACTAAAATTATCTTTCAGTTGTTTCAGTCCCAATTTGTACTTTTTTTCTGCTTTAATATGACTGGTTTTAGAGTTGGATTACTCAAAATACTTGATTTATAGGTTAAGTTTAAGGCCCATCGCCCAAACAAACTCACACTCATCTACACATATGCATCTAGCTATATAAAACAAACTTACCAGGTAGAATGAAATGGCCTCAGGAGCTCCTAAGACACAACTGTCCTGAATGTGTTCTTTCCAACCTCTGTATCTCTCTCTCTCTCTCTCTCTCTCGTTTTTAATCTCGCTCGTTCTCTGCCTCTCATATCGTGATTCAGTGGTAATAAACATAATGGTGTCTCCTGGTAAACACAGCACAAAGGGCAAAGAGATAACAATATGTGAATCCTGAGGATCACGTCAGTGCAGTAAAGAAATAGAAATTCTCATTGTGATTACATTATTATGTTAAGGCCTCAAGCAAGACGTAATTAAAGTGAGCCTATTAGTTAATTTAAGGTTTAAAGTCTAACAATTCAACAATGTTAAAATGTATTTTCTTTTATGGCAAACGCCCTGTAAAGAACATCAGTAGGCCTAATGTAAACTATAATTTCATCAAAACTCATTACAACTTTAGTTTTATGAAATCTTACCTTAAGATAGGCCTTGTATCTCATAATGCCATAGAAAGCACTAATTGACAGAGGGAAATAGTATAGAAGCTGATTCAACCAAACTTCACACTTATTAGTTCACTCTACTCTAGCTAGTTATGTTAGCAAGTACACAGGCCTTCTGGCCAATGCTAGATTACTTAATTGTTTTACAGTGTATTGGTGTGTGTTGTGATGAGTCTTCAAACTTGTATTTTGCCACTAATGTATGGCAAAATAATTTTGTTGCTACGTTTTTGTTTTTTTAGCAAAATGGAGAAAAAAATAAAAGCACAACAGATAATTTTGTACTACTAGCAGAGTAACAGGCTCCAATATGAAGCCTGTTTACAGTTCAATTTAAATGATTGTAGGCTATACTGTTTATCTACTTGGAAATAAATTCATAAAAATATTAGGCTAAGAAAAAAAAAAAAACCCTAAGAAAAGATTTCATGCAGGCTAAAAGGCCTATACACTTTATTTTCACTAGCCTAAATATTAGTTTCATTAGCCCAGAGGACAGATAGCAAATTCATGTTTAGAAACGAGGTGTGCAGCTTTAAAGATGCAATATAAGCTTTTTTCAAGAACATTGGTAATTTTGGGCATAGGTCTTTAAAATGCTAGTTTGTAGTTTATCGACTTCTGCTGATCGTCTTCATTGTCAGAGGGCTTCAAACTGACCAAAAACAAAATCGATTTTATTTAAAGGTGAATATGTTGTCTAGGCAGAGGGCATCTGTGAAATAAAGAACAGGGAGGATATAGTCTATGAGACATGGCAGTATAGCCTACTTCATGCACCTTAACTGGGAGATTGGAGACTGGGAGGAGAAAGTGTCATTATCAATATTTTAATATTGCCAATAAATGGACCTCTAAGGGATAATACATTTTTACTCACCTCTACGCAGGATTCACTGCGAAGCCAAACTCCTGCAGTATAGGTTGTTGTTTTGAGTTTCAAATCATGGATAACTCCCATTGAAGAACTTTCTAAAAGGTCACTCCTCTCAATCTTTAAGCTCCCCTTCTCTCGCTTCTCTGAAACTGGTGAGCATCAGCACCCAGTCATCACTGCCCTAAAGCACCTGTAGGTGGCGTTGCAGCACTGAACTCACTACAGCAACCCCACACACCAGCCTCTCTTGAGCAGCACCACTTCACCTGTGGGCTGTATGATGTTTTGCGCACTGGGAGTCTGGACACACAGAAGGAATGCGCACCAGCACTAGATGGACAGATTTGGATATCCAGGCTGATTTCTTTTTTTCCCCATTCTCCACAACTTTATTCAACTTGAAGCCACTGAAGTCTTACTTTCACGATTATGTTGAGAGTGACAGCACATCGTTCCTTTGTGGTGCTTGTGACTTTTGCAAAACTGCTTCCATTCTGTCGGACAGTGATTGTTTTCACTGTTGTTTTTCATCCGTTGGTGTGTGGCTAAGTTTCACCCTCCCAGGACAGATGTTCCCGCAGCTGCCGCATCATTACTACCCCGCATGCCAGTGACTCACCTCCGCATGCTGCACGGTGTGCGTCGTAAACAGAGCCTCTGTTTTGTTTTGGGAGCGCTGCTGCTGATGGGTCCTCTTTGGCGTTCTAAGGATGTTTGTTTTATTACTTTCCAAAAGGTAAACCCATGAACATAAACAGATATCCGGATATTACTTGTCTTTTTCTCTCAGATTTTTTTTGGGAAACAGATGTCTGTGCTTTTTTTTTTTTTCTTTTCCTTTTGCATCTCTTTTGATTGGAATACACCTGACTTTACCTGGTGATGTCTGCGCACAGATGTTATTGCAAACTGTTTTGTAGCTGGCACAACTAAGGATGTTGGTTTCAAGCGAAGAAAAACTTTCTGATCGTATTGAAATATATGTTTTGGTTTTCTGGAGAGGACTATTTGTTCCCTGTAGGATCTCAGACTCAGGGTAAGATCTCAAGGATTTTGGTTTTACGCACAGCAGCCAATCTTTGCCATTACACCTAATGATGGGAGTCAAAACGAGTGCCGAGGGGCTTAAAGAGTCCCAGACCTGGAGTGTCTCTAGCAGCAAGGGCCAGGTACGGCCCCGTGAATAACCGCACGGCATCAGCATGCCCCCTTGGCAAAATCAGTCGCAGTGCATCTCCCAAAACTGCAGCTGGGAGACTCTCAACTCAACAGGGGACACTGACCTCGGTTGGCCTCCTCTGAACTACTACTCCATCCCTCTTCTCACGGCCATCACCATCGCGTGCACATTGCTCTTTCTGGTCGGGGTGGCAGGGAATGTCATGACTATTTTGGTGGTGAGTAAGTACCGGGACATGCGCACTACCACCAACCTGTACTTGTGCAGCATGGCCGTGTCAGACCTGCTCATCTTCCTCTGCATGCCCCTGGACTTGTACCGGATGTGGAGGTACAGGCCCTGGCGCTTCGGCGACGCGCTCTGCAAACTCTTTCAGTTCGTGTCAGAGTCGTGCACCTACTCCACCATCCTGAGCATCACCGCTCTGTCTGTGGAGCGCTACCTGGCGATCTGTTTCCCGCTGCGCGCTAAGGCCGTGGTGACCAAAAGGCGAGTGCGTGGACTCATTCTCCTGCTGTGGACAGTGTCTCTGCTCAGTGCGGGGCCCGTGTTCGTCATGGTGGGGGTGGAACGTGACAGCTCTGGGATGAATGAGACTGTTTACTCCCTGGAGGAGGTGGACACTCGTGAGTGTAAGATGACGCATTACGCGGTGGAGTCGGGTCTGATGGGGGCTATGGTGTGGTTGAGCTCGGTTTTCTTCTTCATGCCGGTGTTCTGCCTCACGGTGCTCTACAGCCTCATTGGCCGCCGGCTGTGGCAGAGACACAGGGAGACAAACATAAGCTCCCGCGTGGCACACCGGGACAAAAGCAACAGACAGACCATCAAGATGCTGGGTAAGTCTGGAGAGCGCGTAAATTACGCACAAGCTTATGGTCGACATTCATGAAAACATACGGGTAGAATTAAATCTGAGTGAATAAAATGTGTTGATCTTGAATGTAGCTCATAGTATACACAACAGAAGACAGTTTGCATTAAGATTTTGTTGTAACTTAACCCATTCTCGTCTTATTCTTCATCCATCTCTTTGCAACCACTTCCTTCCTTCTCTACCCTTGACCCTTTGCACTCTCCCTCCTCATCCTTGCCCCCCTCCTTCCTCCTACAGTGGTGGTGGTTTTGGCTTTTGTCCTCTGCTGGTTGCCGTTCCACGTGGGTCGTTACCTGCAGTTTCGCTCTCTGGACGACCCGTCTCCACTGCTGTCCGTGTTGTCCGAGTACTGCAGTTTTGTATCTGTGGTCCTCTTCTACCTGAGTGCCGCCATCAATCCCATCCTCTACAACACAATGTCGTGGAAGTACAGGGGCGCAGCGGCGCGTCTCTTCGGCCTCGCAGACAGCCAGCCTCCACGAGGACGCACAGCCAGCACCCTGAAGGGAGACGGCCCGAACGGCTGGACGGAATCAACAGTCAGCTTTTGAACGTCAAAGCATCAGAAATACTCGGCAGCAGCTTTTAGAGAGTGTACAACACAGCAGGTGTAAAAGCGACTATCTGCCAGGCCGGAAAAAAACAATGTTCTACCTGGCCTGCACGCCAGGCACTTGCAATGTTTGACGGGACAAAGAGACAGTAAAAAAAAAAAAAAAAAAACGCCAGCAAGAAAAGGCTGCAAGCCTCTATTGTCCTCGTGCATCAATTTAAATTCGATTTCTTTTCTTAAATCTTTCTTGTTGGATTATTTCAGCAAGTGCCATTCAGTAGGCTACTCATACAGCACACTCAACACAGGAAAAGAGCGACAGTGCAAAATGCACAACAGTCTCCTGAAGTGATTCTAAAGATCCAAAAATGAAAAAACAAAAACAACCTCTCTCTTTCACACACACACACACACACACAAAAGAGCAAGGCTGTGCATGCTCCTAAAAAAAAGCACACACATAGCCTAAACATTCATATCCTCGACCTATACAATTGCCTTATATTGTATTTATATTCTGGATGACAAAGAAAGCACTGTAGAACTTGTGGCACCTCTCTGTACTCATTTAGAGAGATACAGAGGGTCAGTGTGTGCGTCTGCGTGCGTGAGTGTGACTGTGCGTGAGACATGGGGCATGTGTGTGTATGTTTGGCCATCATATTGGATGTGCAGTGTTAGAATGAGAAACTACTGCGTCACTGTTAAATGCTCAATGCCCTGTATCTTGGAAATTCAAGTCCATGCTATGTTGATGCTGCCAAAAAAAAAAAAAAAAAAGGACCAATGGGGGTTTGGGTGGCGGGATAATGTATACGCTGACATTTAAACCATATGTATCATTGTCTCTAATCTTGTAAGTACTTGTTATTGTTAAAGGATCTACATCTGTGAAGCTGAAAAACTCTTTTAAAGAACCATCTGAAAATGATGAATGGTTACATGACAAATATGTCAGTGGCCATAAACGCCTCAGCTTTCTGAATCCAGTGCCTTTTGCACCACTGCAGCATTGTTGATTTCAGCCCACTCAGGTTCATAGATGTCCCACCTGTACTGTTAACAGGTTGTTTTTTCTGTTTATTATAGAACACTTTAATCAAATCTAAACCATACATATTTGACTCTGTTCCATTATCCTTTTTGAAGCATCGTTCAACAGTCGGTAATGAAGACATCTAAAGTAAAGTTACCATTCATACCTTTTTTTTAAATATGTTTTACACACCCTGAGGACAGTGATTTACTCACTGATTATATCTAACAAACACAATTGCTTGTCTTGCTAAGCTTCAGGATTTGCCTGAACTGTGATTTTTTTTTTTTTCCAATGGAAGGTTTTCATGTAAAGAACACAATGAGTATTTTCATTGGGGACTGCAGTGTATGGTTTGAAACAAGACACACACAAATGTGCCAAGCGGGCCAACCATGCCAAAATATCACATACTACAAGCCATTGCTTTATACATGTACAACAAAAATAATGCAATATTGAAAAATAAAACTGGTTTGATTTTATAAAGTGTATAATGTACCAACTTGGACATGGAGTAGGATCACTGAACTGCCTTTACGTGATGGCGGTCTGCTTGCTTGAACTTGTAAATAGATGCTTTGTAATTCTCTACACTCAATGCAGTTCACTCAGATGGTTCTAAATCACAGCAGCAGACTTTACTGGAAATCAACTCAAAACATGGCCTCCATGCTCGAAAGAATGTATCTCCGGTAATGAATGTTTCTGACTGTACATACTGATGTCATGACAGAATATTAACATCTACGGGATGTAGATGGAAAGAGTATAAAAGTATTTTCCCTATTTTGAAAATGTATGTGAATATCTCTTGTAATTGTTGATGATCAAGTCTTGTAAAGTAAAAAAGGGAAAACTCACTTGCTTTTTCTTTTTCTTTTGTGAATGATATATCAGACACATAACAGAAGATGGTCGGACACTTGAATTGATGATTTCAAAATGTACTAAAAATCCTAAAAACAACAGGTTGGTTATGACACAGTATGTGTCCAGCACAGCGTACAGTAGTCACTAAGAGGGTACCAGATGTGCAGCAGAGGTTGTCCCCTTGATTTAGCCTACGTATATCCCCAAAGTATATTTAGTTAAGGACATTAAGTTAACACAGAGATAATGCAGTGTTAGTGCTTTCACATATGTTCAAAACCAAGTTTTCATGATGAGCTGCATGTGTGAATGCAATCAGCCAAATTTTAGACTCTGACTTTACCAGGAATGTTTCCAGCCAGCCATAGTACATTTTCCACGTGAAGTCAGGGTGAGCAGAAGTGAGATTGGAGCAGGAAATATTTGGGAAAAATCCAGCCTGAGCGAGTGCGAGAAGGCGCTGATGTTTATAACCTGTGACCGGCGTACGACCACATGCACACTCCATGCAATCAATGTAACTGCTGCATTATGTTTTCTGTTCTCATTAAGTTCAGTTTAAGTCTTCATTAAGTTTATTCTTCTCCGCTCTTCTTGAGATATTGTGAATGTTTGGAACTACACACACAGCAATAATATAAAAGGCAAAAAAAAGGTAATTATAGCGTCCGAGTCATTTTAGTTCATTTTTCAGTCAAACCATTTTGAGATAAGATAAGATATCTTTATTGTCAATGTACAACGAAATACTGTTGGAGCAAGCCTTTAGATGCCTAACATGAGTAAATATATACAAAAACTAATCCAAATATAAAACTTAGACAATTCTAGCATTACCAATATACAGATTTACAAATTGTTTTAAGAAAATACATCAAAATAATCCAAAAAAATATTCAATTTAGTTGAAAGTGACAGGTGCTGAATAAATATAAATAATAAATATGGTGGGATATTGCACTTAATTATGGCTATTATGAGAGTCATTGTGCTGGGGGGGGGGGGGGGGCTCTTAGTCCAGGGAGTCTGAGCTTCTAAGTGGTGCATAGAGTCAGCGTTTTGAGGAGGAAGGGACGTATAGGAGAAGCTAACCTTGACTGTTGTTGGGTGCTTAGACATATAAACATTTTGGTCTTTGACATTTATTTTGACATTTTCCATTCACTTGCATGGCTTTACGATTGTCAGGAGGTGCTTTTAGTGTCTTCAAAACCTTCAAAATAAAAGCATCATAGGCTGAAGAAAATAACAAGGCAAAATAAAAGCATTAAAAAATAAAAATAAAAAAAAATAAAAAGGTTTCACTGTAAAATATCAACTGGGTTTCTTTCAACATATTTTTTTCCTGATGCAAACTATTATTAACTGTATACAAACATCAACAAAGTGTCACCATCTCCTCTCACTGAAACCCTGTGAGAGGCGCTGACATGGCACTGGTAACATCAGTCGGAGCCAAGACATGCGCTGTGCCCTGAAACAGGGTCATATGATCACAGGTACTCACTCAGACAAGATGCTCTGGATGGTCTTCATCAAGAATTTAACTTCTTAGTTTTCAAAAAATGATTAACAAAGTAACAATGGTGCTTTCAGTTTGCATGTTTTATATGTTTTCATGCATTTCTATGAAATCAACGAGTTAGTTACATTAAATTGTCTTCTTTTTATTTTATTGTATTTTACGGGTTGATAAAAGAGTATATTTACTTCTGTGACTTCTTTTGCAAAAGGTAAAACAATTTAATTCAATAAATGAACTCAAATGATCAAAATTGGTTGGCTGTACCAAAAACATATTGTAAAACACAGTTAACCTGGTATTTCTTCCACTTTTACGTTTCTTATGTCTTGTATTAAATATTTACTTCAGATAAACACAAAGTGGATGATTACACAAATAAACTAAATAAATATTACAAGTTTCATTCTCACACACACACACACACACACACACACACACACACACACACACACACACACACACACACACACACACACACACACACACACACACACACACACACACACACACACACACACACACACACACACTGACCTCTTGTGGCGATGTGTCGGCGGCAGATCAAACGGAGCTAAACTAACTTAAAACAATGTCTCAATTCACGGTCATAACATGTAAATTAAACTTTTAAAACACTCAACATTCGGTTACAATATGAAACAGAACATCGTAGCAAACATATTAAACACATAAACACGAAAAAGATTCGTTTTTTTTTTTTTTTTTACCTGAAAAGGGGTAACGTGAATATTCAGACAACACGCTTCCTCCTCTGGTAGCTTCATCGCAGCTGGCGTGGACAGCGCCCCTTTCTGGCCTCTGCAGGCATAACTAATCAATCACAAGCATCATCTTTCAAAAGACTCAACAGGTAGATCACAGAGGAACAACTGTGACAGGTAGACATCCTTACATTTTAAAGTGTTTTACCTCTTCAGAATGACTCTGTTTTTAACACTTCAATATTTTTAACCTTACAAAATGTTTGCAATTGTTTTTATGACACTTAAAACAATGAATTAGCTGTTTTATGTCACTGCAGTTGTTTTAACTGCCTATATATTTATTTGAAACTCTTCTTTTTTTTGTGTATAAAACAAAAATAAGACGGGATCCGTCTGGTTGAGCTGTGAATTCAATTCACCAATAAGATGGTAAAGATCCCTTAGGTCAGTACAGTCCACAGCAGAACAGCTTCTTATGTTAGAAACTCCCAGTTATCACAAGGTTAATGAAAGTTAAGTGACTCTTGTGTTAGTGCTTTTCACGTTTCCTCTCGCTGTTCCTCCTCTTCTTTGCTAATTTGTACAGAGCTGTCAGTCATTTTACTCCTTTTTATAGCATCAAATAACTAATTAAAACTAAACTTCTTAGAAGAGGAAACACCTGGACATAAATCCACATGATACAAACTGACTTTAATGATAAAAAAATGATTTCTTTTGTGAGAAATCTATTTGAAATGTATTTCAATTTTATACCCATGTCCCATCTGGTAACATGGAGGAGGCAGAGCTTATGATCTACACTGCAGCAAGACAGCATGGAGAGCTCCAAATGTTTTGCCTTTACTTTTGGGGAGGGTTCATGTCGTCCATTGTCTTTTTAATAGTCTATGCCAATTAGTAAGTCACGGGTTACAGAGTTTTTTTTTTGGTATAAATGTTTAACCAGTACAACCCTTGAACATCACTGAGATGAATAATCACTCAAAGTTGACTAAGAACCATATAAGACGCTTTAGCATAGCCTTATCTTTCCCCCATGTGACTCTGCCTCACCCAATTACGTGATGTGCATCTCAGTAGGGAGTCATTTTAACTCTGGACACACAGCAGTGTGTTCTCTGTCATCTCAGCTTGTGTTGTATTTCTGTGGCCACAGGCACTGCACCTCTCTGTCACCTACGACAGCTTCAAAGACACACAGGGCTCAAAAGGATCTGTAAGTACCCCCTGAAGGTACCTGATCAAAAGATTGTCTGCGGAACCAACTGAGGACATTGTGTTCAGGAAAAGCAGATGTGAGTGTGAACGAACCCCCCATTATAACCGATGAACAGATGATAAGTAAAAAGTAATGAGGGAACTCCATCTGTTAAATACAAACTGGGCTGGTGTCTCTAAGAGAAGATGGTTTGTGGGTGGATGTTAGGTGAGGAAAAGAGGAGGTGTAAAACAACAGAGATGAGGACAAGAGGTCCCTCTTGAAAATGATTTGCCTTTAAAATAGAAAAATAAAACAAAAGGTGAGAGAAGAGGTTTGATTAAATGAGTCAGACATCATGATCGTTTATTAGATGTGGGATGTGCAGGGGAGAGGGAATGAATTACCTTGGTAAACAAAAAGAGGTGTAGGATGAACAGAAGGAAGAAAAACACAAATATCTATACGGCTGTTTAGATGTAGTAATCTCCTTACTTGGCATACAGCAGAAATAGAAACAGTGGAATGCATGCACAGTATTTGTCTGTCAGTGTGCTCCCCAAAAGAAGCTGGACTTTATTTGGCGCATGGATTCATAAAAGTGTTCCACAGGGGTCACGGTCTCTGCAGACTTCATATTGACACACAGTTATTCAGGGGGCCTGTGGGGGTGCAGAATGCCAGAGGTGCTCTGCTGGGTTCAGATCTGGCCCTTAAATATAGTTATACTTCTGGTGCCTTCTTCTGACAGCAAACACAATATCCTGCAGTAGGCATCCATTTTAACCATGAGAGTAAACCGCCACGCAAGCAGCTCTGTGAGGCTGTATCAGTGCTTTGAGCTTAAAGCACACAAACTTAAACACGCTCACAAGATGACATGTCAATATAGTTATTTTAATATTTTCAGACTGATGGGTTTGGGCTACTTGTTCTTTGCTGAAAAGAAAGGAAGACAGCCTTCGTTCTTTACTGTTCTGGACTTCCTGAAGTTATCTTGCAGACTTGTGACTCAGCCAGTAGAATACATTTATCCTCCAATGGGTTTGAAAAACTGATTTGATTTTGTATCAGTGTGTACTGTTGTTCTTGGTGAATTTACAATAGTACAGCTTGTGTACTTGTCCAATATTAATATGCTC